GCTCCCATGTATCTTCCTTAATGACCCTAGGGTTTCTGGAACCAATCACCTTCTCTGTTGTTATTACTGGAAAGGCAGGTAGAGCTGTAGATAGAGCTTTGTGGAAATTGTCCCAGAGGGATTTACCCACAGATGTAGTTAAAATTTGCCTTTATACCGTTTGTTCTTCTTCATCAGAATTTAGAAATTCCTCAATCTTTTCAATTCTATTCACCATTGCCTTCTGCAATGTCTGTATCTCCTGTCCAGAATTATGTTCCAAAGCCTTCATTGAGGATTCTAAAGTATGGTTTGTCCGTTAGAGATAAGTTCTCATCTTTGGACATAATTTTTATGGCATAAACCGTGCCTTCTTGTATTGACAATCTTTCCGCCAATCTGTCATAAGCTTTAGACAAAATCCGATTGTCACATTCAACAGTTTTGATTCTCTCAGTTAATATTTCAGTCCCTTCAGAAAGTGACTGATGAAATTACGATCCAAATCAGCTATTCCTTCTTCCATAATAATGAATTTCTCCTTAATATCAGCCACTAATGTTTCAGTTCCTACAGAAAGGGATTGGAGTTTACCATCCAAATCAGCTGTTCCCTCTTCCATAGTAATGAATTTCTTCTTAATATCAGCCTGAACCTTTTCTAAATTTTGCTCAGTCAACAGAGTCTTGTTAAACAAATATCTGTTCTCTTCCTGTAGAACTTCAAACTGATTTTTGAGAAGATTGTTGTCATGCTTAATAGTCTTTAGATGTTCAACCTCTGCCTTAAGAATCCTGGATTCGTCTCCAATAGTTTTTAGATGTTCAACTTCTGCCTTAAGAATCCTGGATTCATCTCCAATAGTTTTTAGACATTCAACTTCTGCCTTAAGAATCCTGGATTCATCTCCAATAGTTTTTAGACGTTCAACTTCTACCTTAAGAATCCTGGATTCATCTCCAATAGTTTTTAGACGTTCAACTTCTACCTTAAGAATCCTGGATTCGTCTCTTAAAGACTCCATCATACTTCTGTTGTCAAACCACCTAATACCAAGGAAAACTACTAATCCCAGAAAGATCCATAGATGTGGGGTGCTAGACACCTCTTGTAAGATCTCCCACATGGCACACTCAAAAAGACTGTTAAAGTCCTGAATAGTAATATTCTCAGATATTTTATTTATAAAGGAAAAAAAATTTTTTTACCTGCAATGACTGGTTCCTGCCAAAGGTGGCGAAAGAGTCCACTTGAGTCCACGTGGAGAGCCGGTCTGAAACAACTCAAAACCAAAATTTATTGTTCTGTCTGAGGAGTTAGAGTGGGCAGATTTGGTCTGATTCAAAGTGACCCCTTCCGCTGTGGTGGTTTGTGTTGCAAAATCTCAGGTATTTAAGCTTCCTTGTTCTGCTCCAAACGCCAAGGCAGAAAGGGAGGGGCTAACCGCTCTGGAGCAGCGAGCTGGCCGGCCGGCGAAAGCGCTGGCGCAGGGCCTGTGGGCGGCGCACGGCGGACCTGCGGCGGCCTCGGCGCTGCCCGGGCCGGGCCTGGTGGCGCTAGGGCAGGCGGGCGAGTGGGCGGTCCAGCCCGGGCAGGCCTGTGCACTTTGGTGACCGCGACCAGGTGCCGGGGTGGGGGCAAATCTGCCCCAACATTGAATGCCAAAATGTGGTGGCTTGGGTTAATGAAGACAAATTGTAATAAATGTTTGCACAACTTTAATGGAAAAACCAGACTCATGAAACCAAGGTTCCCGTGGAGCACAGGAAACAGGAAGGGAAGTGCAGGCTTCTGCGCATGCAATTTATCAGTAAACATTCGCCAGAGGCTAGTCCGCCCCCTTAGGGGTGGGCCTAACCCTACAGGGCCATCAACAGTAGATGGTCTTCCCACTTTAATTAACGCAGTGAAGATAAGTCACCCATAGCCATGCCCAGAGATTAACTTTTCAGATGATTCTAGATTTTATCAATTGTACAACTGATAATAACCAAAACAAGAACCAAACAGGGCACTCAAATTAACATATAATGAACTTAATTCGAAATCTAGACAGGAAAATTTATGAAATCAATTCAGGACATACAAGAAAGTTAACAGTAGATAGACAAAAGAATCGGTTACTTGGAGAAGAAAGATAAGATGTGGGAGGGAAGGATTCAGTGAAGAAACTGAAATGCTGAAAAAGAACCAAATATAAATTCACAAGAATGTATGAATCAATCAAATTGTTAAAAAAAGAAAAAGAAAACATAGCTGTACTAGCCAAGGTTCTCTAGAGGAACATAACTAATAGGATGAATGTGTATGCATGTATGTATATATGTACATATGTATGTGTGTGCATTTATGTATAAAGGGGATTTATTAGAGTAGTTTACAGGCTGTGATCCAACTAGTCCAACATGGCTGTCTCCCAATTAAAAGTCCAAGAATCTAGTATTTTCTCAGTCTACATGGCTGGGTGTCTTCAATATATATGGGAATCTAGAAGAATTAGACTTTAATGCCAGAGAAGGAATAAACTTGCCAGCAAGAGTGAGGGCAAGCAAGCAAAGAGTAAGTGTTTTCTTCCTTCATGTCTTTTCTATAGGCTGCCAGCAGAAGGTATAGCACAGATTGAAGGTGGGTCTTCCCACTTTAAAAGATCTGCATTAAAGTTGGATTACCCACTTCAAATGATTTAGTTAGGAAAAACCATTCACTGTTGTATCCAGCCTCTTGGATTTTAGTTAATCCCAGATATAGTCAAATTAACAACCAAAATAACCATCACAATAGCAAAAACACCAGCAAGAGATAAGATTAGAGGAGAATAATGAATTTTAATGATGGAAGATAAGATCAAGACAATAATAAATATACACACATATGGAGAGAAAACAATTGACTGTGACCAAAACTTCCAAAAATTCTGACATATGTTCTAGAGACTAATCCTAAGAATCCATAGGTTAGAAGCATCTGATATGAAGTCAACAGTTTTAGACAAACTAGACCATGAACTATATCTGAGAATATCACAAACAAATATCTAAGTACATTAAGCATCTTAAACCCCCAAATAGTTATTATCAGAAAAGAAACTCCCTACAAAATATCATAATCAAGATGTCAAAAGTGCAATGTAAACACACAAAACTTAAAGCTACAAGTGAAAAGCAGCAACTCATGAGGCAGAAACATGGAATGATGTATTTCAAGCCCTGAACGTAAATAATTGTCAACTACCAAAGTTATTAAAATTGATGGATAAATAAGAACATTTAAATACTGGTATAAGTTAAGATAATTCATGATCCACAAACAAAGAAATTAATACATCTCATGAGAGCAATAGATGAATGGAAGATAACCAGGAAGAAATTGATCATGAGCGGAACAGCAAATTAGCAAACAGCCAATGCTACCAGAAAAGGATGGAAAAAAACTACAAATAACCCAACCAACTAGAACAGTCAAAAAAAAAGCATTTATAATAGCAAACTCTTCTCAACAATAATTTTGAATTCAAATGTCCTTAATTCACCAACTAAATGGATTACAAAATAAGTTTAGACTAACTGTTCTCTCAAAAAAAAATTTACAGAAACAGGAAAACTAAAAATCTGTGGCAGGAAATCAGTCTAACAAACAAATGTAATAACTACTCTTATATCTGATAATATAAACTTCAACCACAAAAGTTATAATTACCATAAATGTTTATGCACTGAGCCTCAGAGGCCCCCATTTCATTAAAATATCAATAGATATAAACACCATATAGGTTCTGAAATAATACTAGTGAGATTTCCAAATACAGCTATCACACCTAGATTGATCTTCCAAACCAAAAATTGGCAAAAAAAATCTTCTGAGATAAATACCACATAGATGGACTGGGTTTGATAGTTATCTACATTCTTTTTTCATAAAATGTTTTCTTTTGTTGTATGTAATTCCTTATTTGTATCAGTTATTGCTTCAGATTTAATCTGCTTTTAAAAGTTTTATGTAGATGAGTATGTGCTCACACACAAATTTAGGATTCCCTCTTTTCTGTAATAATCCCTATAAGATATTCACTAAAAATGTAAATATTTCCTTATAAATATTCATACTCATTTTTAAAAGCTCTTATAGTTTAAAAATAGCTCTAATTATTTTAAAGTTTTTGTTAGGAACATTATATTAGACTCATGTCTAAGTATTTTAACAGTATTTTATTGAATACATAAAGACTTTCATTGATATATTTTGATCATATTAAACCTCTCAACTTCCCCCAGGACTACCTTCCCCTCACTACTATCTACTTGTACACAACATTGAGATTTCTCGTTTTTAAATCTTCACCAAAAATCACAATCCCACTTTTCAGCAAACATACATACATACATATAAAAATCCAGGTTTAACAGTGGAGCACCAAACTGAAATCTCAAGGTCCAAATCAGGAAGAAGGAGAGAGAGCACAAGCAAGGAACTCAGGACCACGAAGGGTGCACCCACACACTGAGACAATGGGGATGTTCTATCAGGAACTCACCAAGGCCAGCTGGCCTGGGTCTGAAAAAGCCTGGGTTAAAACCGGTCTCGCTGAACATAGCGGACAATGAGGACTACTGAGACCTCAAGAACAATGGCAATGGGTTTTTGATCCTACTGCACCTATTGGTTTTGTGGGAGCCTAGGCAGTTTGGATGCTCACCTTACTAGACCTGGATGGAGGTGGGTGGTCCTTGAACTTCCCACAGGGCAGAAACCCTGATTGCTCTTTGGGCTGACGAGGGAGGGGGACTTGATTGGGGGAGGGGGAGGGAAAGGGGAGGTGGCAGTGGGGAAGAGACAGAAATCTTTAATAAATAAATAAATAAATAAAAGAAAACATTTAAAAAATCCAGATTTATTTTATCATTTTGAATGCTAAAAATGAAGTTATTTGAGGAAGAGATTGGTTTGGATAGGACCTCATTGATATCTATGGAAATAGATTTTTATTCAATATCCTGGTTATGTTTCTCCCCTCTCTCTACTCTCAGTTCCTCCTCACCTTGCCTCCCTTCCATATCTACCCTCTTTCTGTCTCTCATTACAAAACAAACAGGTATCTAAGGGATAATAATAAAATAAAATAAGAAAAAAAACACGAAAAAACACACACAAAAAAAAAAAACAGATATGGGGCAGAGACCCACTTGTTCACACACTCAGGAATCCCATACAAACACAATCAAAGGCATAGCATAGCATAGCATAGCATAGCATAGCATAGCATAGATAGATAGATAGATAGATAGATAGATAGATAGATAGATAGATAGATAGATAGATACACACGGGAGCTGTAGAGTAAAAAAGAGAAAAATTAAAATTAAGTTGATGTTGGTCTTTTCCCCATTGAGTCCAGTTTTGCCCAGGGAGTCTCTTTCTTTCCCAGAAACTATCAAATGTCAATAATTCCTCAGTTAATGGTGGGATTTCTTGCTTACCTTATACCCTCTATGCCTGTCTGAAGTTTGGGCAGATTTTGTGCATGCTGTCACAATTTTAGTGAATTCATATACATATATATATATATGTATGTATGTATATATATATATATATATAACTGTTCATTACTATCTGGGAAACACAGTTAATTTGATGTTATCCACCACTTCTGTCACATAATATTTCTTTTCCTTCTTTCTCAAAGATTACTGAGCCTTGGAAGGAGGGTCAAAGCCTATTTATGCTTGAGCATGCCACTCTGATATTCTCTGGACATTGACCAGTTTAGAATCTTTGTATTAATTTCCATTGAATGCAAGGAGAAGCTTCTCTGATGAAGACTGATATACTGATCTATGGGTTTAGAATTAAGTCATTAGAGAAAACACCAACATAAGAAAATATGCATTTTATCAGCAGTGCATAGAAACTTTTCTAAAACCATATGTGTGTGTGTATGTATACGTGTGTGTGTATATATATAATATATAACTTATAGGCTGCAAAGAAAGCCATAACAAATGAAAAAAGAATAAAATAGTCCCTTCCCTCTCATGAAATCATAACAGAATCAAAATTCAAATAAATAGCAAGATTAACCTCAGAAATTACAAAATACTAGGGAACAAAACAATACACTGCAGAAGAAATTAAAGGGGGAGTTTAAAACTATTGAATAAAATGAAAATGAGAGCCCAGCCTAATATGATGCCAGGCACTACCGAGACAGTCCTAAGAAGAATTTTTAGAATAGGTGCTCATATTTAAAAGGAATTAAAGAGAGCTCAAGATCTCAAATAAATGACATAGTGATGCAACTCAAGAGAGCTCTAGAAAAATAAAGTTAAGCAATTGCAAAGAATGGCAAGGAATAATGAAGATCATGGCAGAAATTAATACAGACATAAACAGAGTTGGCTCTTTGGAAAGATCAACAAGATTAGCAAATAAACCCAAAGACATGAAGAAAAGCTCAAATTAATTAAAATTAGACATGAGTCAGGCAATGGTGGTGCACGCCTTTAATCCGAGCAGTTGGGAGGCAAAGGCAGGCAGATTTATGCGAGTTTGAGGACAGCCTGGTCTACAAGAGCTAGTTCCAGAACAGTTAGGGCTGATACACAGAGAAACCCTGTCTCAAAAAAACAAGAATAATTAATTAATTTAGATATGAGAAGGGAGTTGTTACAAAATAATCTGATGGAAATTCTCGAAAATACTATAAATTTGTTTCAAAATCGAATTAAGAAGATTATACATCTTTACCAAGTTAATTTCACCCAAGAATGCAAAATAAACAGATGTAACATAGCATATTAATGGATTAAAATTTAGAAATCATAAGATCTTGATTGAAAAGAGACATTTGAGAAAGTTAAATATGACTTCATGATAAAAGTGCTGAATAAACTAGAAATCTATGAAACATATTTCAATATAAAATCTGTATATAAGAAATCTATAGATAATATAACATGTTCATACTATAACATGAAAATCTGGATTATGGTTGAAATGCTCTCAAAGTGCCTACTCATTCCATTTTGACTCAGTATAGGGCTTAAAGTCTTAGCTACAGAAATTAAAACAAGACAAAGATATAAAGGGGATAATATCAAGAAAGAAGATGTTATTTACAGAAAACAATACCATTGAAAAACACAAAGACTCTACAAAATAAATTTTTAGATTTGGTAAACACTATTAATAGTGTTACAGGACACACAACATACAAAAGTCAGTAGATTTTATACATGACACTATCAAACACTGAGAATTAAATTAGGAGAAACATCCCTTTCACAATGGCATCAAATAAAACTAAAACTAAATGAAAATTGAACTAATGAATAAGGAAAAGACCTCTACAAGAAAATTTTAAGATGCTGAAATGTTTTTGAGAAAGATATTATATGGAAGAAAAACTTTTCATATCCTTGGTTTGAAAGAATTAATATTATAGTTAATATTATAATTAATATAATATTATAATTAATATAATAATATAATGCAATCCCAATCAAAATTCCACTGACATTATCTACAAAACTAAAAAAACCAAAATAATCTTAGAATTCATATGGAAACATAAAGCACCATACACAGAAAAAGCAATTCTAAATATAAAAAGCACAGTCAGAATTATAACATTTCTTATCCTCAAAATACACTACAGAACTACAGTAACAAAGACTGTGTGATAATGTCACAAAAACAGATTATGTAGACTGATGCAACATAATAGGGAACACCAAAGTAAAACACACAGCTATGTATATTTAATTATTGACAGAGGTGTCAAAACATTACTTAAAAATGACTTATGGCTTATTCATTGAATGGTGCCAACAAAACTACACACGTAGCTACAAAAGAATTAGATTAAATCTGCCTGCAAAAAAAAAACATAAATTCAAAGTAGATGAAAATTCTAATTTAAAATCATAAACACTGAAATACTCATATGAAACATAAGGAAAACACTTGAGCGATAGTTAGTCAACAACTGTCTAACTAAAATCCCAATAGCACAGTAAGTAGACCCAAGAATTGATAGGATTACATGCTGTTGGACAATGGTCTGTACCCTATCAGTTGTATTTTAATAAAACACTGATTGGCCAGTGCCAGGCAGGAAGTATAGGCAGGGCAATCAGGCAGGAAATATAGGAGGGGCAATGAGAACTGGAGAATTCTGGGAAGAGGAAATATTCAATGTGCAGTTCTCACCCAGCCACAGAAGAAGTAAGATGAGACTGCCTTGATGAAAAAGGTACCAAGTCACGTGGCTAACATAAACAAGAATTATGGGCTAATATAAGTTATGAGTTAATAAAAAGTCTGAGCTACTAGGCCAACCAGTTTATAACTAATGTAGACCTCTGTGTATTTCTTTAGGACTGAACAACTGTGGGACTGGGTAGGACAAAAACCCCTGTTAACAATTACATAAATTTCAAAAGCTTCTACACAGTGAAAGAAATTATCAACCGAGTAGAGAGACATGGTATAGAAATGTGAGAAAGTCTTCACTTTCAGACAAGGAATATATGAGCTGCCCATCAGTAAATCAGTCAATGAACTGAATAGGCAGGTCCCAAAATAAGAAACACAAATAGCTAATGCATATTTTTAAATATTCAACATTCTGAGCTATAGTAAAAATCCACATTAAAAGAACATTGAAATTGTATCTCACCCAAATTAGAGTGGCTATCATAAAGAAACAAAAATAACCACAAATGTTGGTGAGGATACGTGTGCATAAAGAGAAATTCTTATATACTATTGATGAAAATGTAAACCAGGGAATTCTTCTAAAATTGTGTTTTAGTTTTTTGTCCAATATATAGTTTAATATGTAACAATTTTATAGAACCACTTATATTGTTTTGGAACCATCATATGAAAATATTCTGGGAGAAAGCCTGTTCTAATCAAATCACAAAGATCTCTTCACATTATCACTCCCAAAACAATAAAATAAGAAAATGATCAAATACTAAATAATTATCAATTACTAAAATAGAATAATAAATGCCACAGAATTAGAAAACAATGAAACTCATACTCAAGTTAATAACACAGCATGTAACTGATAAATATTAGTCTGAAGTTTTCAATATAATACAGTTACTTTAGTACCACTCTTTGATTTAATTTATACAAATATTGTATGGTTGAAAGTTAGAGAAAGATATAAAGACCAAACCAAATGTTACCAATAGTTAATGAGTGTGATGAATTTTGCCACAGCTTTCTTGGGTATGTGCATGTTTGTTTTTCTTTTCCTTATTTTTTATTAAACTATAATGTGACAAGCAAGTCGATTCATGAAAAGTCCATGAGAATGAGTAAGTGAAGGTGGTTTAATTCTATTTCATCTCCTTCAGTGATTGCTAGTCCCTGGGTTTTCACCATGATTCTCAATTGTTGGTTAGTAAAGCATCTCTAAAATTGGAGGTAGACAGTGATGATAGAACAGGGAAAATGAAAATGCAACAAGCTTAGCCATCCACGTTAAACAAATGAGCAGAAATTACTCCAAGCTTTTGACTGTTTTCTAAAGTTTTGGAAGTTAATTTTGATATTTTCTTCCAGCTTTTTTTTATTGTACTTATTGGAAGAACTTTTATTCTTACTTTTACTGATGTCCTGGGATTTCTTTTGGATGTTTTGAAAATCTTCAAGAATCACATGGTGGTGTTGGGTGTAGGATCAAAGTACAATTTAAGAGTGGTTATCATATGCAAATATGAATGTTCTGTATGTTTATTTTTCACATATCATACTTTGTGAAGTTAAGAGACATATCAGTAAAGGACAGTCATTGAAAGTATAGTCCACTATACTCACCCATCCCAAGAGAAGTGACATACTATGACATAAGATAGTGGAAACATGGGAACCACCAAAATCAGTGATAATGCAGCAAAGCAAACAGGTTAGCTTGAATAACTCTTGATTCTCAGATATAGGAGCTATTCTTAGTTATCCAGTAAATGAATTTGAAATTTATGTCCTGTCAATGGGCAGCCCATATTTGGTGGTTCTGTTGAACTTGTCCATATTGGGTTTCATGGTCTAAGTTGATGAGGATGGATGATCAGGTTTCTTCTTCAAGAGGGCACCAGATCTCATTTCAGATGGTTGTGAGCCACCATGTGGTTGCTGGGAATATAAGTCAGGACCTTTGAAAGAGCAGGAAGTGCTCTTAACTGCTGAGCCATCTCTGCCTGTCCCTAAAATGACTGGCCAAGTGATAGTGGCCTAGAGACTGAGGTTTTCGGAAGTATAAACTGTAGCTTGGTTAGTTTTCATTTTAACAGAGTTCTCAAAGACAACTTGTTTGTTGTCTCTCAGAGCTAGCAACCTAGAGGGGCAGGCCCTTCAAGATTTGATTTACTTGGTTCATCAAGTAAAATCTCTTGCCATATAGCCCTAATGATCTGAATTTGATCCCCAGAACTCAATTTTTAAAAATATCAGATGTGGTACCTTATATCTGTAACCCTAGCACTTCTATGGCACATATCCAAGCAGCCAAAATAACAAGAGACACCATGCCTCAGAAACAAGACGGATGGAGAGAACTGATTATACAAAATTTTACTCTGTCCACACAACTGCTATGGAATGGGTGTACTTACATTCGTATACCCATACATAATGTACATGCACATGCACATGCCCACATGCATACATGGCAAGCACATAGACAGACATACAAAAATAGAAACAAATATTTTAAATGTATTTCTAGGAACCCTTAAGTGAGAATGAAGTTATAAGAATTATAAATTGTCTTCCAAACTATTGGCCATAGATAATGTATGTTCTCAGAGGATAACACAGTCTTTGATTGGTTATTAGGAAATAAACTTGGGAAACACTAGACTAAAATAATATGTTTCTGAAATAAATAGACTACTTTTGGGGAATCATTCATATTTCTCAATTTGGAGCAATCAACTTATGTCTACTGTGTCTAAGATAGTGTTATCCTGTCCTTACAATAAAAGATACGATGTATCAGAATCAAGAGTATTATTCAAAGTGTTGACATAATGAACTTCAATTTTCTTTCAGATTGTTTCTGTGAATCCAAACTTCCAATACAGACGTCCTCAAAATATTTCTGATGAATTCATTTATTTCCGTCCTATTAATGAGGAAATTCAGGAAAGGGACAGAAAACAAAATGAACAGATTCCAACTTTGGCCTCCCAGCAACCCAATCGTGAAGGTATCCATCAGAGGGACTTGGGGCTTACAAGTCAGGTGGTAAAAGCTACCACCCCACCACTAACTGAGGAGTTAGAAAGCATTGCCCTTGTAAGACCAAAAACTTCAGGTCTTCTTCGCATAGAGTTAGTACCAATTTTTCCAAGGTTCCTAGAATTTCATCGCTTAGACGTTACAGGAATTGCCAGTCCCAATGAAAGGGGGAAAGGCACCGCAATACTTGTTGCAGGTGTGCCTGGAAAGGAGGAGCTAGATGATACAGAAATTCCAACTTTGCACTTCACTGGGTTTGTACACCTGGAGGTTTTACTAAATAAATGTTCACCATCCTCAGAATACAGTCGCCCAGGAACCCCAAGAAATCTGTGGATGGAATCTCCAGAAAATGCAGAGTCCCCAGGAAGTGATGATATGGAAGTAGCAAGAAGCATGTATCCTTTTAGAGAAAGATTCATCTATCGGCGTTCCTGGGCAGAGCTCTTAGAGGCACCACTAAACAATGAGGGGCTCCATATTCTCCAAACTATTCCCAAGGAAGAAAACCGAAATACGGGTTGCAACAAACTAACATCAGAAGAAGAGAATCAAGTAACCATCCATACTAAGGATCAACATTTCCAAGCTTTGCAAGGCCCTTTCCCCTTGTTGCCAGAGCGTCCTAAGCTCCAGCGGCAGCGCAGTCAAAGCTTACCAAGATACAGTGAAGCCAGAGGCCAGTATTTAAATGTACCTGAATTCAAATTAAATGAAGAAGAAACTCACTTCTTCCCAATTGACCATAATTTAATAACAGAAGGTAAGATTTTTCTTGTCACTACTTTTTTAAGTTACATATAATTTTTCATATAAGATTTTCCCCAGTAAGTTTATCTTCAAGCTTGCCACCTAGATTATCCCTTTCTATATCATAAAACATTTTATGATGGAATTGGTTTCTCTTCCACAAATGTAAGTCTTATACTCATATTTGGTAATTACATCCTGATGCTAAGTTGGGTTAATTCATCGCATACCAATTAATAATCATCAGGAGTGGGTTCTAGAATATACAGACTTCTTAAGACTTCAAGTTAGAAACAAAAATTCACCTTTTAAAAGGTGTGAGAAAATGAAACATCCTCACTCATTCAGTTTTAACCCATAGAATAGAAAAACGTGTCCACTAACACACTCCTTGTCTAATAACTACATAGTAGATAATAAAAAAAGGAATGATGTGATAATGGGCATTAATAATGAACTGGTTAAAAACCCAACAGATAACTTCTTTATCTCCTCTTGTATATAAGGAGCTACTTACAAGAAAGTATAAATTGGCATATAAACCATTAATATTTTAATCTATATTTGGTTAAAAGTAATATTCACATAATTTATATCTATAACATATTAAATCCTAGATTGAAATTTGCTACTGGCTATAAAATAACATTTTAGTTTTATCATTACACCTATGTAAGCATATCCAAAAAATTCTCCTGTGTTTACTGAATGGTATTAGGAATTTTCATGTCTAACTTCTGTTAGAACCCAATTCTACAACTTCATAAAAGGTCTGCAAACTAGAAGTATTGTTTTAAAAATAGCATCCCCAAACTCCTGAAGATGATTTTGATGAAAAGTCTGAAGTCTAACCCAAAGTTTACCTGGAAACCGCAACTTGGCCCATTCTGTAATATTTTCTTTTCTATACATATTTAGACCTTTAACAAGTTATTTATCAAAGGAAGAAATTATACTCTAACCTAAAGTCATCTCAGATCATATTATCTTTTGAAATATAAAGTTGGTTCAACTTTATTCTCAAATTGAAAACCCTTCTGAAGAGTGCTACAAATTAGCAACATTACATTGCTGAGTCATTAGAGTGCACCTAATAAGCAACAGAATTGGGTTTGATTTTAAAAACTCGGGTTGAAAAACAAAGAGACATAGTACTGTGTGTTTTTTATCCCACAACTGGAGTTTGTTGGGTAGAAAGTCTGCCTAAATAAATAAATAAATAAGTGAACAACTCCTGGTAAATACAGCCTAGGTTGTTTTATGGCCACCATGTGCACTTGCACAGCACACACAAGTGCCTGCATGCTTACACCCACAAACACATGCACACACACACACACACAACCTTCCTGGGTACTTCCAGTTTTTATGGTTATCTTTTATCTAATTTCTTGTTCCTACTAAATTCCTAATTACATTAAGCGTTCATACTACCAACGAAATAAAATTTCATACTAAATACCTACACTTTTGTTTCTAAAAGTCCTTCAGCCTGTAGCTCTTCCCCGTCATACCCCCATTCTTCATCCTCTTTCTCCACCTCACCTCTACTTTCTAATAAGCCTAAACTTCTGGTTTAGAATCATTTACTCACTTTTTTTCTTTGTCCATCTTTTATATCCAAAAGTGTAATTGCTAAATAAAACTTACTGTGGTAAAATCACCATGTCATTTTGAGGTAATTGCACTGAAATCAAATTTGGAAATACATCTTTGATTCTTATTTATAGCTTTTTCTCAAAACTGAAGCCAATCTGTTAATCAGTTACAAATTTCTGGCTTTGTGTTTTAGAAAATATCAAGGAAATATACAACATGGAGGGAGACTGGCAAAGAGAAATTTCATCACATTCTGAAGAACATCTTCCCATCAAGCCGAGAATTGAAAATTCTGCAATTGGAGAAAACATTGGAATTCCTGAGGATACTTCTGCATGTTCCAGAGGCAATGTTACAATCCCCAAGAATGATGTCAATACTATCCCCATGGTTAATGTTAGAATGCCCTTAGATAATCTTCAAGTTCTTAGAGGCAATGCTGGAGTTCCCAGGAGCAGTGCTTTTGGTGTTTACATGGGTAATAGTGATAGAACCTCCAGACATATGGTATGTTCTCCACTCACTGAGCTCTCAAAGATAGGTGAACACCAGTTATAAAAAATGATACTTTACAATGCTGTCCATTGAAGAAACAAACCAAGACACTTAACATCAAAACAGACATATACAAACTTGACAATTCAAAATACGAAATGGGATATCTAAAGTATGAATTCACAATGAACATAATTAATAAACTTGTGATAATTATTTATTAGATTGGATAAAACTAGATTGTAGCTAGCTAATTTATCCCATATGTGGCCATCAATTGTGTGTGGAATAATCTAGTTGGAGGAGTGTGTTTCAGATGTGGACTTTTTCATTGAATAAAATATCAAGTAATCCTCAAATGACAATATCTCCTAGTAATTTCAAGTCCTCTTGAATACTTTGAAAGACAAATAAAATTGATCTCGGAGGTTTTGTCATTTATTTCGATGGGTCTAGCTTAATGTCCAAGACATTTATTTAAGGAAAGCTAAAATCTAAGAGGTTTCTTTAGTGTAATACTTCACTAAAATATTTAAAAAAAACATCTAGGAAAAGTTCACTAACAAGAGTATTTAAATATGGCTATTTGTGGTTTTTTTACATATACACATCAAAATTGTAAATATTTATGGGAAGCCTTAACAATACAAGGAGACAAATAACTGTAGAACTGTAAATATCGTATGTGGTTGTGATGCTAATAATATAAGACAATAATAACAGCACCACAGGATGCCTAAAATATTACATGCTAAAACAATGTTTTTGGTTTGAAAGTTAATTTTTTACCTCTCCCAGCCACTTTGTTCATTTCCATAAGAAGATTCAGGGTAGAAGATAAAAATTCTTGAAAACTTTTATGAGATGAATGAGTAGGATACTCTTCCCAGAGCAATGAAGATAGCGTTTCATTGACCCAGGTGATCAGCCCAGTATTCAAATTAATGAACCCTACTTATATATAAAATATGACTTTCTGGAACAATTATTTCACAAATCTTGTAAAGTAGATAAAATATTACCAGAAGGTTATGAGAATAACTGACAAATTACTTGGAAAATAATCTCATTACTTTGTATTCATGTGTAATATAAAATTTGTGCTGAGTTTTAGGGCACTCAGGCCATTATTCAATTTGTACATTTAAATATTCAACTTTCTGAATAATGGTTGCTGTTGTTTTTACAAAACCAAGGGCAATTTAAACAATAGGTTGCCACCTAACCCCTTATTATGTGCCTTAACACATAGTGCAAGGGGTCTTTGATGTGAAGGCAAACTCTTGCCTTTTATTATAAGATTTCTTTGGCCTCTGAGGAAGGAGGTAAAGAGGCTGGCTAGCCTCCCTCCCTTCAGTCCCCATGGTTCAGCATGCTCTTTATGAACCAGGGCTTTAACCTCAGAAAATTAGTAAATGTAGTGAGATTTTTTTTTCTCCTACTTCTTACCAACCAAGAAAATGGTATACCATTTCAGACTTGAGTAACCTGAATTTCATGTAGTGTGGCAAAACCACAGAAATAATAGAAGGATACAGGCTACCATAGTTGAGTTACTGCCAATATTTGACTTAGAATAAAAAGCAAACTGAGACATCACCTTGCTTAACATACTCTCTTGTCACACCGACTTTCGGGAACACAACTATTGTGTTCTAATTTTCAGAGGAAACCACCTTGTGAGTGAAAAATAATGAGTACAGTAGAAACTGAGAAATAGTTTATCAAGAGCTAATGTTTATCAAAAACAAGTAGAAAGAGAGACAGTAAACAAAGTTTGATTCAATTATATATAACACTAATATATAATTGAAGACAGGCACGAAAACACCAACATCATCATCAACAAAACCCTGCTTTGTGAGTGTTATTCCTCATAATCCATACAATTGTGGATATTGTGTTTAGTGGCTTAAATTTTAAATATAAAAATGTATGTAAAGTGGCCAGCTGCTTCTCTGTAAATTTTTATGAAATTAAATTAAACTGTCAAGTAAAAATCAAACATGAAGATGGTCTAAGAAGATTATTCTCAATCCTGTACTGAAAGTTCTTTATAGCCTTGTTTTTATTCTTCTAAATACTGTTAGTATTTATTAAACTGAGCACATCATTATTTATTTTCAAAGATTATGCCCTATTTCTTAGGGTTCTCCATATCAAATTAATTCTCTAAGTCACTCAATAACATCAATATTCTACAAAAGAGAGAGAAAGAACATAGTTTTTTTTTCAATAAGCAAACTTCATAACAAAATTCATATAGTTGTCAGAAATGTGTCATTAATCACATGTTATATTTCCATCAAATCATTGTTTTAAGCATGTTTTAGAAGTAAAAATCCAAAATATAGCAAAGTGCTTTTAACATATAATGGGTTACAAAGTATATGTGCCTTTTTCAGTACATATTTCAAGAGCAGAGAGCCTCACTAATGTGGAAGACAAATTTATGGAAAATGAGAGGAAATCTAAGAAAAAAACAAAAATTAGAATAAAACTATAGCTTTAAAGTAAATGAAGTTCTTTATTATTTGGAAGAGAATATTTTTATTTCTTGATTTATTTCATTACTTAATAAAATGAACAAATAACCCTAAAGTTTACACTACCTTCAGATACACTAATCCCCTATAAGTGTCCCTCAACCCATCCTAACCCTACTACATCCTTAACCTTTCTTATCCCCAACCCAGTACTTCTTATCCCCAACCATATCCTGCATACCTCATCCCCCGACAATTTAGTTCCTTCCTCACCCCTATACCATTTTGGGTATCTTCTCTGCTTTCCTCCTCTCCCCATCTAATTCCACAATGACATTGTCCTCATGTTTACTATACCTTATTTATCATGTTCCTTTCCCTCAGTCGATTCCCAAATTCTGTCTAACTCCCACTATAGCCTTATTAACTCCTGTCTCAAGTCTCCCGTACCTTTGACCCTTAAAGTCCACCCCAACACGTCTCCCCACATTTTGACCTTCAGGAACCAGGACAGAATAAATATTAAGGTAAACACCATGAGTAGAGTAAATATGTCTACTTGATACCTTTGTTAATTTATAAAAAATAAAAGTTCAAAAATTGTATATTTTCCATACTAAAGCAAGATATTCAAAATTGTAACATCTGTAGAATTAAAACAGTTGGATAGGAATGATGATGTGAAAATGTAGGGGCCAAAATACCATGTACTCCCCCAACCAATATTCCTTGTTATTTAAAATAAACTGGCTTATGCTAGTCTTTCAAGGATTATGAAAACATATGCAGCATAGGATTTAAAGAATTTTTTTAGTTTTAAATTTTGTGTTTGCATGATTTTGAAAGCACCAATTTTTCTTTATATATTATAAAATCATTCTTTTTTAGGCTCTTTGAGAAAAATAAATGGACTTAAAATACCAATTTCTTCATCTAAATTGTAAAATATATTAATGAAAACGATAAAATACGCACTTTGTGAATTTACCTAGAGCATATTTTTGCTATTAAAATAATATTTTAAGAGTTTATTTTTTAAAAGGACTCATCTTTAGTAGATTTCATTATCTTAAGCAACTAATATTCACCTACAAACCAACTTCTCTATTCTTATAAATATATCAAAGTAAGATAATAAGATCATCTTCAAAATAAAATTTACCATAAAATGCAGTGACATTTGTTAAATCTAAATTATGATAAAATTACCAACAGTTAATATTACCCAGATACTCAATGTTTTTGAAGATCATCATGATTATATTTACTAATTTCCATACTTTTTTTCAGAAGTATACCTAGTTATTCAAAAATAAATACACATATATTTAAGGGTTTAAAGTTATAAAATAACAGTTTCCAAAGTTCCTTTCTTAAACCGTAATATTTCAGTGCACCATAATGCCATAATGCAGTGCAAAGTATATTTCAAAACCAAAATAAATGTCATTAAAAAGTAGTAGCAATTTGGAAATACCCATTATTATCAAAATTAAGTAAAAAAAAATCAAACCACCTCTACACATTATACCTCCTCAGTCTTTACACTCATCAGATACTCCAACCATTTCAGTTTGTTCTTAGTACATTCATTATGTTTCAAGTTAGTAACACCATATTTCTCATTTTCTACACCTATCACCAGTGACTAGAGAACAAATCTGTCTAAAATCTGCAAAACCTGGTATGATGCTTACGGCTTTAATGTTTATTATGAATGTAAATTTCCACCTTTTGAAAGTAAAGAAAACAACTGGGTTTTATTTTCAAAGTAAAGCAGGACAGTTAAGTGCACTAGTATGGTGAAACATTGTCCATTTTACACTGATGCTGTATTTGATTTTGTGAAATGTGTAATACCATTATTTGCTGGCCATTGTTGACTTTTCTCTTGTTTACTAAATATTTATTGTGGTATGTTTAAACAAAGTATCATTCAAGGTGATATCGTAATATATATGTGATGTGTGTGTATTGGCCTGTATTGTATCTTTAAATAAACTGTGGTGTAGATTGATATGATGTTTTTATTTATTCAGGGGTTGAATTATTGCAGCACTAGAGTACTGAACTCCTGGTGCTCATTCTATAAGATTATGCTAATCTTATAAAATTCACAACAGGTATTTTAATATCTTACTAATTTAAAATTCAAATAAAGAATATTGCAGAGGGGTTGTATCCATTTGGAAACTAAATTGCTAAATCAATCTTATTTCTGTAACAGAATTCACTAAACATTTATTAGGACTATGTTCAAAACTAAAAACAAAATTAATTCTGCACCTGTTGAAGTAGCTGCTGCTTCTGTTACAAAGTCCAAATATAGTTACATGATCTGGGCACTCTTGGTTTTAGATACCCTTCTGGGTGTATGTGAGCCACAGAGAATATCTGCAAAGAAATCTATACAAGAGCAGGAGCACTTTTATTTAATCATTGACAATTTTTGCTACCACCATGTATTTTTTCTTAACTACACTGAAGAGATTATTATATATTTTATTTCAACTCCAATATTACCTAACCTGTGCATATCATAACCTTAGCCCTGATGGTTTGGCAAACATGAATATG